ATCATATTATAATGATATAATAATAATAATATTATTATATTATTAAAATAATTATAATATTATTATAATATCATATTATATGATAAAATAATAATATTATAGTTATTAATATAATTATGATATTATTTGTTACAATATTACTATTATATTATATTATATTATGAGTCTGAATTTTAGATTGAGAAGATTGTCAATTTTAAATTTTATTAGGGGTATTATGAGTATTATGAAAGTTTCATTAATTGTACTATGTTGATTCATACACAATCTAAAAGCTAAAGTTTTCTTTAGGCTGCTTCTCATTTTAGCTGTAGATTCTTGAAAAGTTTTTCAAAAAGTAACTTTAAAGAGATTTATCAAACACTAAAATTAGCTTTTGCTACAAGCAGACTGATTTTGAGATAGAAAAGCAATACCAAACTAAGTCGTTGTCTAAAGGTGGAAGTGAGGTTAAGCCATGCTGGACACTATCCTTAACAATAGAATTTGTTCCTCTCAGGTGCAAACAAGCTTCACGACGGATCTAATCTTATGATCTTAGTAAGCTCCCAAATACGTAGCTTTAGAACAACTATATAGACTTTTTAACATTTTAACCTATAGCAAGAATAGAAAATAAGCAGGACACGACAAAAATTGAGGAATATTGTTCTACATTTTTGTACTACCTCTGAATTACAAACAATGAACAAGAGAGCTTGTAATATACAGTGACATGAAAGAAAGAAGTGTAAATGATTTTGTATCGAACACTTGGCATCCATGACTGTTTGTCTTTGAGAAGTCATTAGAAAAAGCTTTACTTTCAATCGGCATTTAAGAAGTTGTGCATGTTGCTGCAGAGCTTTAATAAAACTTCAAGGATTGCGTGGGCACTTCATCAATAATACTAGGAAAAAGATGTATTATATTTATATGCCAAACAATCAGCTTTCATAAACCAAAGCATTGAATGTCAATTGGACGTGTGCATGGACTTTGTATAGCATGGGCTTTCAGCTTTGATGAAAGCTTCATAGAAACAACATCTAATAGATTGCCCGCCGGCAGTGCATTGGACAAATGAGGAATGCCACTAGAATTAATAAAGCCAAGCCAAACAAATTCGACATGCCATATTAATGCTGCTCTAAGTGGTTTTCAACAACCAACAATATTCCCTCCATTTGCATGCAATCTCACAAAAGCTTTCCTATTGAAAGTGGATGGAAGGGAGCAAGAATCTCTCGGCCCCACCAAATATTTGTAATCAAATACCCCATAATTAATTTTTTTTTTTCCTTTTTTGGGATATTTTTTAATTTGAATCATACTTGACTACCAAACGAGCATACATTATAAGAGAACTAATTTTTTATTAAAGTCAGTTTCATCAAGATTTCAATCATGCATAAACTACACCATCTAAGATTATGCAACAAAACCGAGTTCCACCAATCCACATCATAAAAAAATGAATAGTCTGAGCTACAAGATCTAAGATATGATACCAAAGTTGATACCAAAATTGAATAACGGGACCATTTCTGATCACAACGCCATAAATGAGGCATGTCTTTTGAATCATAGGTTAGTACTGCTCTGCAGCTGAGCCTCCCCACTTTCTAATGCGACCTTCTGCTTGTTCAGCCTGCACATTCCCACATAGGAAAATAAAAAACTTAGTTGGAATCAAACAATTAAACAAAAGAAAACCGTATTGAATTGGTGTAAAGAAAAAGGAAAAAGAGTACTGACTTCTTTGTTCCAGTCTGTTAATACTGTAACTACTACTAATATTATGGTTTGCAAGGAAGTGCCTCCAATCATTCCTCCCCAAATACCCTGAAACTCAGACAGGAGACAGGTTGAGCACAAAGACGATAACAAAAACCAAATACGCGATGATTAAATGGCTCAATGCTAACAAATGGTTGATTTTGCATAGAAAAATCCTCCACGCGAGACGATTTGGTTGAGGATCTTACCATGATTCCGAAACCAAATGTGAAACCCAGAAGAATTCCAGCTGGAAGTCCAACAACATAGTAGCACACGATATTGATGTATGCTACAAGAGATTGCCAACCAGCCCCAACAGCAACACCTTAAAAAAAAAAGGTAATATGAAACAAAGTATTAATCAATCAAAAAAAAATCATGGCTTGTCTAGAAAGTAATATTTTTTTTAATGTTTTCCCAAATCAATGACTGCGGTTTTCAAGTACCGTACCAGATAACACTGGCTGCAGGCTGTTCATCAACACTGTGAAGCCGAGCAAGATTGCAAGTCTGGTAGTTTCCTTAGCAACGGCATCGCTACTTGTGAAAAAGATAGGGAAGTATTCCCTAGTAGCTAATACTATGATCATGCAAATGACTCCTATGGCAACTGAAGTAGCAGAAACAACTATGACTGAAAATTTTGCAGCCCTGGCGTTACCCGCTCCAAGCTCATTTGACACTCTCACGCTATTGGGAAAGAAAAAGAAAAATTAGAAGCTTGGATTTGAGTAGAAATTTGATCTTAGGTGAAACATAAAGGCCAAAGAAATACAAGGAATATCACCTTATTGCAGCATTAAATCCAAGTGGAATCATTGCATCCCATCCATTTATATTCATGCTGCAAAAAAAGTAGAAAAGAGGTTAAAGAATTGTACTCCACCTTTTATGATGGGAATGCAGGCAAGTGTCGTATATCACAAGTTGATTTTGCGTTAAGCAGTCCTCTACCAAATAGAAATGGCGTCGACCGGGATCAAAGGATTCGGCAAACGGCCTGCTATGACCACCAGCACCATCATGTACCAAAACTCCAAACTGCATTCAGCCAGTTTATATAAGAATTAAGAGTGTTACATTCTACTCAAAGAGACCGCACATAAACTGAGAATAAAAAGCCGAGAAAAGTTGTACCACAACATAATAGCAGAAGCCAAAGAAAGCTTAACAAAGCCAAACAAGTCTGAGAATGCCAGCCATGAGAATCCACTCCAAGCACCATCTGACGTGGTAATGACGATGTACAAAAATTGACCAATAACGATTGTCCACCACGAGATGTTGAGCGTGAGTGCTGCCCCAGTTAAGCCCCACCCAAGTCTTAGTATTAGCAACCAACTGAAAAATGTATGTAGCACCAATACCCCAGCGGAAATCCAAGTCATGACCAGGACTTTCCCCTGTGCTTGTAAGAACTTTTGTATTGGGAAATTGAGCGCGTAGGCGAATAACTGTGGAAGCATCCACAGAGCAAACTTTCCTGCATTAAATTTAAACAGAGAGCATCAGGAATGCATAACCTTTTGGGAGAGTTACACCAACACCCCCGATATTTTGCCTAAATCACAGAAACACCTCTTTAACCAAAACTTTTTATGTCAACATCCCTCACACTAACTTTGTTAACTTCGATTTTACAATAAAATAACCAAAGTACTTTGAACAAGCTCAACTGTCGAGCTACTTGTTATATTGATCTTAGCCCTTTAAATGTCATTTTTTTAACCACTAAAGTGCAAATTACAGTCGCAAGTGTTTAAAGTCACTTGACATTATTCTTCTTGACAAAGTAAGGGCAAAGATGTCACTTTTAGGTCCTCAATATAGCTAGAATCATTTTCTAAAGTAGGACATAAAATGTTAGGTTTGATTAATGGAGAGTTTGGAAAACTAGGAGATTTTTGACATAAAATGCCTCTGCCAAGTGGAAGTTTTTATAATTTAGGTATCTATATAAAAAGTCCCAACCTTTTTTTTATTACAAGTAGTAATAAATATGTACAAAAAAGCAAAGACAACGATAAAACACTTGCCAGCTGCATGAGAGATTTCAGCGGTCTCTCCAAAAAGCTCAAGGATAGGAGGCGACCAAACATAGAGGGGTACCAAAAGACAGGCAGTGGTCAACAAAATCACCCATGATCTCTGCATGTACACTCCTAACATCTTGAGATTCCCTGCACCGTATGCTTGCCCGCACAATGTCTCCAATGCACTCCCCATTCCCAACTGTTGGTCAACAAAAGAGTTCGGATACAAAAAAAAAAAAAAAAAAAAAAAAAAAAAAAAAAAAAAAAGAAAAAAGAAAAAAAGAAAGAGAGTAAATAAGCATGGAATTGAGAAGAGAAAAAGAGAAAGGAGATTTCTCTAATAGGCACTAAAAAATGAACTACCGAAATAATTCTATTTTCAACTGTTAAATTTGTATCACAAACTGTCTAGTCAGTATATTTTTTTCAATCTTATATGATTTTGATCAATCACATTTAACTCTAGTGGTAGGAATTTCTTATGAGAGAAAAACTCAAAAAGAAAAGGAATAGTTTCTAGCTTTTAAGTAATTTTTATTTTAGTTTTAGCACCAAAAGAGAAGTAATTTTTGTATAGGAAAAAAGAAAAATGTAGTAATAAATATGAGACTCTCTCTCGTAGGCTGTCCTATCAGTAAAATTAATTTTTTGACTGTTAAATCTGGTTAAAATCAAATGAGATTTAAAAAATATGCAGAACAGACAGATTCTGTTACATATCTAATAACTGAAAACAGTGAAAAAAATAAAATTACCGATAATTCTATTTTTTTATCACATAGGAAAAACTCCCAATAAATATATATAACAAAAACGAAGCAATTTTCCCTCAATCTGAAAAAGAAAAGACAAACAGAAAAGAAAATAAATTGGAACGGAGCGCTGCGAAGTCACACTAAAAGACTTGGAGCAATGTGGAAAGATGACTAGGAATTAGTAAACCAATTAAATAAACAACTATTTTTTAATCCTAATCAGTGGCCACTTATTAAAAAAAAATCCTAATTCATTAAAAAGAAAAAACCTAATAAATCACTAATCATAGGTAGCATCGTATTCGGGAACAGATTTTAGTTTAGTGCGATGTCAAAATTTCCGAATTATTGAGGTACCATAATATATACATATATTTTTTTGTGTGAAAATTTTCAACGAGATTGTAGTATAATTTTTGGTAATTAAATTTGGCGTGCAACACAGATACAGTTCATTGGAGGGAATTTCTGTTAATTTGGCTCGTGAAGCCGAAGACTAATTTTGTAGGGACCATATATTTTGTCTTGATCTGTGGTTTTCCAGATGTGGGGCACGTTATTTGTGTGGCGTGGAAAATGTTTTTTACTCTATTGATTGATTGTTTTTTGTTCGTATTCAGGTAAGTTTTCGTTTGGTTTTCTGATCTGTTCTTCCTGGGTTAATCAGAGAGTCAGAGACTAGGTGTAGCGATGGCGGCACAAGAGGGCTAAAGCAGATGATGAGCGACGTCGTTTTAGAATCTCATTTATTCAGAGTTTGAGTGAGGGAAAAATAGTTATTTCTTGAAACGTTTCAAAATCCGGAAGAACTAACCAGACAAATAAAATAAAGGAGCGAGTTATAAATCCTTTTGTAAAAAATATTATGTTTTAAGGAAAGTAATTTTTCTATAATTTTTGAATATTTTTATCAATGTTAATAACTTTTTTAAAATTAAAAATTAAATTTGGTGTCCGCATATTTCCACCATTTGCAGTGATTTGGGATATACTGCACTGCAGTTTTAACTCAACGAATATTTTCCAAGTCAACTGCTTTTCTAAATTAAGATCGATTTCAAATTTTCGTATAAGTGGCTCGGATTTTAGTTTCTAACTTCTTTTCTCTATTTCAAAAACTAAATCCCATTGTCTGCACTCCTTTTTTGTGAAACCCTTCAAAACCTGACTTTTTTTTTTTTTTTTTTTGGGGCAACGACCAAAACCTGATTGCCTAATTATCTCACCCACCAGATATAGAAAAAAAAAAAAAAAAGTAATAATTTCAAAGAGAAGAATGAAAAGAAATTAACAGTACCATGATGCCGAAGGCGAGGCCGGCGACGACAGAGTTCTCGACGGAGACGGCGGCGAGCTCAAGCTCGCCGACTTGGCCGGCAAACGTCTGAGTGAGAGCCCCCAGGGAGTACTGGCAAATGGCCGTGAAGATTGCCGGGGCGGCCAGCTGCCACAGCCTCTTGGATTCCTGCCCAAACTCCTTAACCAATCCATGACAATCTCTGATCTCCTCGTGGTCGCTATGATTCTCGATGAGAGGGATTATGTTGCTGTTGCTGCTATCCATGGCTAGGCTAGCTAGCTGTAATTATGGTCGATTTGTCTTTGTGATTTTACCAACATATAAAGAGGTCTTCATGCATCGATCTCCCACATATGTACAGGCGTGGGAACTAGAAATTAATAGTTATTCCATATAGAGAGAGAGATATTGATAGTTATTATATTTTGCCCAAATATGCTGGTAGGTGAGCTTGTTTGAAAGTTTGTTGTAAAAGATATTATAATAGAAAAATATTGTGTCATCACTCGTGACACGTGGTAAACGAGTAATGTGAGATTTGAGAATGAGACCTTCTCCTAAATTTGGCCCCACGTGAGAGTCTCGCGATTAAAAAAACAAAAACAAAAAGTGTAGATCTCGAGGGACCTCTGAGTAATTAATGCAATTTATTAGTTCGGGGATTAATTAATGCAAAGAGTGGTAGTCTACTAGTCCACTGAAAAATAGTAGTCTGCACAGTACAAATTACAACGTGGAATTTTTAATAAATTTGTCCCAAACTCATATCAACTTGTATCGTAATGTGAATTTGAGTTTTTAATTTAAATTAAAATATAATTTTATGTATAAAAATTTATTATAATAAAAAAAATTTAATATAATTTTTTATTAAAATTTTTAACTGTAATAAAATTTAAATTAAAAATTTAAATTAATGAGATGAATAAAGTCTGAATATTTCATAAAAATACACGTGGTAGTGTTGGATTCGGAACAATGATAGTCGTTAAGTTATTATAAGAGACCCTCATGTGAGATGAATCACACGCCATTTTCTATTAAATATGTATATCATTGACCAAACGCATCCAAAATTGAGCATCGATCAACTAATATATTTTTTTAATCGATTAATCAAAGATGTAAGCAGATTCGTAAATCGTAATTGTTTGTCTACGAATCTTGCTCTTTTTTTTTTTTTTTTTTAAGGATAATATAAATATGTATAGATGTTTTGGTAACGTTTTGAAGCGTGTTTATCTACTTCCTTAAAATATGCACTAACATCGAATAAACATCAAAGGTATACCAAATGAGCTTTGACCACCTAACTATCTGAATTCATGATTTTTGAGAAAGTTAGGACACCTAAACTCAAAAAAAGTTTAAATTTAAATTATAACTTTATTTAAATTCATGTTATTTTATAAAATTTGAGTTTAAATTTGAGTTTTAACTTAAATTTATGGTTAAAATCTGAGTTTAAGCTTCTCCTTCAACTCATGTTAATGAATAATATTTTTCTTATTCTTAAAAACGCTATAACTTTTTCATTTTAATTTTAATTGAGATAATTATTTTTTTTATAAGTTCACAACGAAAAAATAAATAAAACTCCACCCATATACCATATTAAAATTTTTCATCATTATTAAGTTTTATTAAAATACTATCTAAATACAAATTTAAGTTTTGACTCACTCAAACACAAATTTAAAAAAATTCTCATCTCAAATCATAACTCAAATGTACACAACTAAATACAAACTCAAGTTACAACTTCAACTCAAATTATAACTCAAATTTAACTCAAAATTTACACTCAAATCATATATAACTCAAAAATACAACTGAACAAGTCTAACCCATAAAAGGTTGCTCATGAGATTTCCGCTATACATTTTCTAAGACTCAGTCAATTCCATGCATTTTGCTGAGACCAAGTATCAACGTCAGTCCCTCAATTATTTCCCCAACTATGACACAAATCGCTCTCTCTCTCTTAATCTCTCAAAATTCTTCCCCCAACAAGCGGCGCGCAATTGAACATATTGTAAAAGTTTTATTTTGTTTTTTTAAGGAAAATTTCATTTATTCTAAACAGCAGTACAATGTAATGACTTTGCATTACAAAGCATAACCCTGGGCTGAAACCAACTCCACCATTATAACCTAGTGACATTTAATGAGTAAAATATATGTTAGAGGCGCGAGAAATACCTCCGCATACTAAAAACAAGGTCATAAGGTTCTTTTTGACCAAAACTCTACGACCAATAAAAATTTTCGATCAATTATGAGCCACAACAATGTAGCACAAATGCCACCACATAGACTCTATACTAAAGAACAAAGCAAAGATGAGGTGAGGAGACTACTTATGTTATTACAATGAAAATCCAATAAAACAACAAACATACACTAAACTTAAATGGTGAAAATATCGCTATTTTTATTTCACAAACACAAAACATAAAACCAATGGGTAAAACCCAAATGACGACGATAGAAACTCTAATGACAAGCCGATCACTGTTAAAAATAGACAAGGAAGTTGCAACACTGTTAACGAAGTAAAAGAGATTTGGAAAGAAAGCAAGCCTCTGACGTGAGAGAACCACTAGCCGCCGCCCACCTCTGTTGGCCAAGGAGAATACCGCCTTCACTGGTCCATTGCTCCTCAAGGACAAAAGTCCCTGATGAGAAAATAACTCCGAACACTAGTACGCCGCCAGCTTGCAGAGAGAAACACCGCCTCTCCACCATCTCCATCCGACAAAAAGTAAAGCCGCTATAGCCTCAAGGATGTTGGCATGCAAGCGTGGCCAAAAATACCCTCCTCCTAAGCCTCTTAGCTTCCCCCCACCCACCCTAAAACGTGAGTACTGTAGTGACCAAGAAAAATCCCATAATTTTAATAATATAATTCATGTATTCAAGTCAAGGATTTTCCTGGAAAATCATTATACTATGTACATTTTGTGATTGAAGGATTTATGGAATTAACATCTGCATTCCTAAATTCTGTAGCAGATTTCACGTTAAGTTCACATTTTTCCGATCAAGTAAATTCGATCGATAAATTCTCACCGTACTTTAAAACGGAAGAATTTCCAGTATAGATACAGTTAGAGAATCTTAATTTTAAGAATCTCCCAGCACAGTACAACCTAGCATCCAAAACCCGTATACAGGAGAAAATAACTGTCAGTATGATTTTGGACAGTTTTAATGAGTAACTTAAGGGAATGGACAAAAGTACAAGGGGTAGGTTAGTGTGTGTGATTTGATGAGATGTGATGAGAGAGGTGAATAGGACTAATGATTAGTTTTTTTCTCCTTTTTCTCTTCACTTGGCCGGCCATCCTTAGGGATTTATATCCCAAAATTTTGGTTAAATGTTGAGTGTGCTAGAGGATTGATGTGATAGTAATGATTGAAAGTAAATCATGACATTTCTTCCTTCACTTTTCTCTTCACTTGGCCGGCCATCTTCAAGGATTTATAGCCAAAAATTTTGGTTAAATGTTTAGTGTGCTAGAGGATTGATGTGATAGTAATGATTGAAAGTAAATCATGACATTTCTTCCTTCACTTTTCTCTTCACTTGGCCGGCCATCTTCAAGGATTTATAGCCAAAAATTTTGGTTAAATGTTGAGTGTGCTAGAGGATTGATGTGATAGTAATGATTGAAAGTAAATCATGACATTTCTTCCTTCACTTTTCTCTTCACTTGGCCGGCCATCTTCAAGGATTTATAGCCAAAAATTTTGGTTAAATGTTGAGTGTGCTAGAGGATTGATGTGATAGTAATGATTGAAAGTAAATCATGACATTTCTTCCTTCACTTTTCTCTTCACTTGGCCGGCCATCTTCAAGGATTTATAGCCAAAAATTTTGGTTAAATGTTGAGTGTGCTAGAGGATTGATGTGATAGTAATGATTGAAAGTAAATCATGACATTTCTTCCTTCACTTTTCTCTTCACTTGGCCGGCCATCTTCAAGGATTTATAGCCAAAAATTTTGGTTAAATGTTGAGTGTGCTAGAGGATTGATGTGATAGTAATGATTGAAAGTAAATCATGACATTTCTTCCTTCACTTTTCTCTTCACTTGGCCGGCCATCTTCAAGGATTTATAGCCAAAAATTTTGGTTAAATGTTGAGTGTGCTAGAGGATTGATGTGATAGTAATGATTGAAAGTAAATCATGACATTTCTTCCTTCACTTTTCTCTTCACTTGGCCGGCCATCTTCAAGGATTTATAGCCAAAAATTTTGGTTAAATGTTGAGTGTGCTAGAGGATTGATGTGATAGTAATGATTGAAAGTAAATCATGACATTTCTTCCTTCACTTTTCTCTTCACTTGGCCGGCCATCTTCAAGGATTTATAGCCAAAAATTTTGGTTAAATGTTGAGTGTGCTAGAGGATTGATGTGATAGTAATGATTGAAAGTAAATCATGACATTTCTTCCTTCACTTTTCTCTTCACTTGGCCGGCCATCTTCAAGGATTTATAGCCAAAAATTTTGGTTAAATGTTGAGTGTGCTAGAGGATTGATGTGATAGTAATGATTGAAAGTAAATCATGACATTTCTTCCTTCACTTTTCTCTTCACTTGGCCGGCCATCTTCAAGGATTTATAGCCAAAAATTTTGGTTAAATGTTGAGTGTGCTAGAGGATTGATGTGATAGTAATGATTGAAAGTAAATCATGACATTTCTTCCTTCACTTTTCTCTTCACTTGGCCGGCCATCTTCAAGGATTTATAGCCAAAAATTTTGGTTAAATGTTGAGTGTGCTAGAGGATTGATGTGATAGTAATGATTGAAAGTAAATCATGACATTTCTTCCTTCACTTTTCTCTTCACTTGGCCGGCCATCTTCAAGGATTTATAGCCAAAAATTTTGGTTAAATGTTGAGTGTGCTAGAGGATTGATGTGATAGTAATGATTGAAAGTAAATCATGACATTTCTTCCTTCACTTTTCTCTTCACTTGGCCGGCCATCTTCAAGGATTTATAGCCAAAAATTTTGGTTAAATGTTGAGTGTGCTAGAGGATTGATGTGATAGTAATGATTGAAAGTAAATCATGACATTTCTTCCTTCACCAACGTCCACATTAGTTTAAGAGACTCCGTTGGAGTATAAATTTCAGCGGCGTAAAAGTTAGAATGCCATGTATAAGTCCTAGGCCGAATTGGGCCTTAATATCATACCAAGGGAAATTTAGGAAAATAAGATTTTGAAGATTTAATAAATTAATCTTTATTATCCTTTAGTAAAGGAAAGGAATATATGCCTTATGGAAATGGTTAGATTTTCCTTCATAAGTTGCTAAAATAAAATAGCAAATAATAGTTAATCTCACACTCTTAATGGGTGTTCAGTTTCAGAAGAAAGCAAGAGACTAGGCTGATAGGCGAAAAAGGGATTCCAGCTTTGAAAA